ACGTAACTTTTAATTAGTTCCTCTCTTTGTTATTTACCTTTTAATAGTTGAAAGTGGAAATTTTAACTTTTAACTTAACTCGAGTTAATTTTAAAGGCTGCTAACTTTTGACTTTAGTTATATTTTTCATAATGTTTTCCCATGACTGTAGGCATATAAGTCCGTTTTGCAGATCTGGAGTCTAGGGTCCATCTTAAAAGTTTCCAGGTGCCTTAGAGCAGACCCAGTAAAGGACTTAAGAGCCTACAAGTTAGGTTCTGGAGGGCCTAACTTATATGTAGCTGGTCTCTGCAGTCCCTGCATGCCTGACACAAGTAGTTTTGGTCTGTGGGTTACCACATCAGAAATCAGTGCATTAGTTTTTATATAAATATGGATTGATATTTAAACAGGGTCATTTTCCACTGAAAAGTGACCTTGTAAAAGTAGGGATGTACATGAATTGTGACCTGATTTCAATAGCAAATAGACTTTATCTGTGAGCAAAAGTATGGACCAGCTCCTCAGCCCTTGCTGTGGCCCAAGGGCAGTGACTAATATTCCTGGCAGACAGTTGGGGATTCCAATTGTGCTGGGAAATCCCAGCCAGCAGGCACCTGACTTTATGTCATCTCCTTTTATATTTTGGCTCTTGTGTGTAGGTGGTAAGAGTGGAGCATAATCCCACTGATGTAAATGGTGCCTGGTGGGCTGTTATCAATTGTGGAAAATTATAGCAGCAGAGGAGTAGGGGAACACAGAGACAACTTAAAGCTTCTCTTCTGTCCACAGGTCTAACAAGGAATCAGTCCAAAGATTTTTCCTCGCCCACCATATGCCCATGTTCTTCCTGTGTCATTCATTGTCAATAGTCATACAGATTCTTCAGGTTGAATCAGGCCCTCAGCTTTATCTGCTCAAAAATGCATTCATCTTTAGTTGATTACACAGATGTTACTGACGGCACAATTGAAAGAGAATAAATTTAGCTAAATGTATTTGAGACCTAAAGTGGCCTGCAGAATTTCATATTACTGGCACTAGCATTTGAGATGAAAAGAGTCCACCTTCAATTAGAAAGCTAGTCAGGTTTCTAAACCAATTTCCACTCTTTTCACTTACAGACAGAGTAATATTGATATAAAATCAGTGAAATTCACTCCAATGAATGAAGATATCTGCACTGCCACTTATACTTCACCTTTTAGCACTGAACTGAAAGCCAAAATGGTAAGTGTCACCTCAGTCGTTTTAAATCACATAATGATAAGCAGCTGTATGGCATTAAACAATTTTGTAATCTCAATCACCCTTCCCTTCTATGCTGAGAAAATTTGAACCTAGCCAGATTACTGCAGCTACCACTGAGCTCTGTAACTTTCTTTTAGTTGTATTAGGTTTATCTATTATCATTTGAACTGAAGGAAATAAAAGTGGTGAAAATCTGAAAACTACACTTTGATTTTAGTCAAGACAAAAATTTTCATTTCAGGTGGTTTTGTAGCATTTCAAGTTATTGACAATCCAGTAGCATTTTAAATAGTGAAAGGAAATACATTATCCTGAGCTTTGGGCTATCGTTGGAACAGAAATGTTGCTGATTAAGGAACCAAGATTTGGCTCAACAAAATTGCAGATTATCTGCATTTACAGTTTCATATACTGCAGGTATATTACTTATAGCATGTATCAAAATATCTGAACTGGGATGGGCCTCCTCATTGAACTCACATAAATAATCTTGTTGTATTAGATGGCTTTATGTTTTATTGATGCAAACAAAGGGAGTGTGGCTTGACTTATTAGCTAGAAATTTTTACTATGAGGCAGGTTCAGTGTTGGTTATTAATCTTAATATAATCTTGAGAGTCATCTTGCTGGTTGGAACTATTCTGCTGCACATATTTAATGTTGCATATGAAATGTATAAAGCTTTGGCTGTCTTTTAATATGAGTAGTCTCTTGCACCTGTACCAAGTAAAATCAAATGAAAATGCTCTTCACTTCTATTGCTTTTACTTGGCACAAATATAAAGGACTGCACTAGGTACAAGGCAATGGAAAGTAGGTTTGTGTTTTCAAGTTGTGATCTAGTGTAATAGCCATACTAACTAGCGTACAGTCTTCCTAGTTTACTAAGTTTTCTTTCACTGTGGATTTAAATCAGGGAAAAGAGTTATCATGTGCAATCTAGCTAGAAAATACTTCCTTCTTCATGGAATTCTATTAATTAATTCAGACCAATAATGTTATAATATATTTGTATTGAATTAAAAATAGTAGCTGGGAATTATTTTAGTCAAAGCTCTGAAAATAAAAAGTCATCCTATCATTTTCTACAGTTTCACTTCTATAGGAAGTGATCCTATTCATTATTAAACTTTCTTACTGGCTCTAACAAAAGGCGGGTCAACATTTGGAGATATTTAAGCTACAAATTATTTTTTTTCTAATGACCCAAACAAAATCTTAAAACAGATATTAGTGAACTATGGATATACTTGACTTCAGCTTCTAATCTCATCTTTATAGCTTGGCAGTGGTTTAAACTGAAAACCAGCAAGATACAGTGTTTTGGGTTTAATTGAATTTTCAGGTTCATTTGAGCTGAGAAAAATCAGTCTGACTCCAAGAGAAATAATAATGGGGAAATAATGCTTCTATAAATATTCCAGCAAAAGAAAAAAAACACAAATGTAACACACTGTTTTTATAATTTAGGAATGAATTCTTTCTAAAATGTCTTTTCATGGAGGGCCAACTTCTACTTTCTGCAACTGTAAATCAGGATAGCTTTAGTGAAGTAGAATTAATATAGATTTCCACTGATCAAGCTAAAGTAGAATTTTCTCTTAATTATATTATCATTAGTAAAGTGGCTTTTGAGGATACAAAAATATATTACATATAT